ACATTCCTTGTAAGCAGTATGCATCACACAAATTTTACTTTTGAAACTTATCTATATTTTTAATAATTTTTCGCAGCACACCTTTTACCTGCATCAGATCAATACTGATAACCATGTTTGGCAATGCGCACCTTTTACCATCCAGGAGATTCTGTAACAAAAATACCATTACATAGTAGCCTGGTGTTTGGTTTTAATATCCTGCAAAAATCGGCTGCCACTTTTTGCGATTCACGGAGTTATGGACGTTTTGCTCAACCCTTACCGTATAAGGTGGGGGCAGGGCCGAGGGGAGGGGCGAAGTACCGCCGCCCAACCGAAGATTCTGTTCGCGACAGCTCCGAACTCACCAGCGATAGAAAGCTGAAACTTGGCATACCTGACCTTTGATTCAAGTCGAATCTTGTGACACCAACTACATTTTTAGGTCAGGTCAGTTCACGGACCAATGACGTCATAAGTGAACCTCTGCAGGATCCTCAGATGTCGCAACTTCGCAAAGCCCTCAATGCCAGAGCAGCTTTCACATGGAGATGAAACTTACAGAACCTAGTATCCTCCAGAGGATTCACAGTTTGTGTGTCTCGGATTTTCCCTAAAGGTCGCATGAGGTCAGGTCGATCACATGACCTCACCATTGTGAGTCAATATTGTAAAATGAACTCTGCTATTTTGGCGCCGGGAACGATATCAAACTAGTTCAAGCTTTACTTTTGCAAGGTCCGATGCTGTACTTTTGCATTGTTGAACTTGCGTGACGTCATTTATGACGTCACTATGATCTGGTCATTATAGTTTTTGGTCCATAACTCCCCAACAAATTGAGCTAGCGATTCAGGCAAGCCACTAATGAACTCAGGAAGACCTGCCGAATCGAATTTCGACCATTTTCGTGACCTGGGAACTCTGACCTAAAAAACTTACAATCGGGTAGGTAGTTACAAAAACTTACAATAGGGCTTCCCTTCGGGGAGAGCAGCATGCCCATGTTGCACCGAAGTTCTAACTCATTTAGAGGCCAAACGGAAAACGAAATTCCTACTCCTTCCTTTAACTCCGTTAGCGTACATTCATTTCGCAACTTTGAATCCCAACCACCAAACATAAGCGTTACGTTGTAGGTAGACACGATACTAGGCACTAGCTAAAGCTATTTATTTGTAGAACATGTGATCGGAACGTTCAAACAACCACAATTTTTCGCAAGTCATGGTCTCCTCTTTTTTGCTTTGCAATTGCATGTTAGCTTTGCTTACATGCAATTTCAGCGCTAAACCATTTCCATTTCACCGATAATTACCTTCTTCCTAAAACACGATAATTTGCGATCTCCTGAAATGTGGTAGTCTGTTGGTACTATTTCCCCCCAAACAGACCAGTCTGAAAGCGCCTTTGCAACAATGTTTTCTTTGCAAAACCAGCTCACGTGGTTTGCGATCAGAGGCCTGTTTCACTAACAAATAAAGTGTGTAATTACAAAGAAAAAACTTGAGTTTAAAAGAAATATTTGCCAACATTTGAAATTTGGATTTCACGAAACCTCCGAGCATGAATTTTGAGTTTAAAATTTACCAAATTTTTTACAAGAAAAAAGTGTGTAAGAAACATCGAAATTGCAGACTTTCTGTTTCACGAAGACCAAAAACTTGAAAGAAAACGTTGTACTTACAAACCCGAAATTCCAGTGGCTCTTACGTTCGGAATTTTATTACTTTTTGTGCAATGATGCAAAGCAATCAATTATTTAAAACAAATATGATATGCTGAGTCATCCTATGCTCTTTTTTACTTAGCACAATCCCTACGAACCAGCTACGAGCAATAAATAAATATCGTCATGTTCTGTCATTCGCGCGCCATAATTGCATTCAACAGTCTTCTGCTGTCAAATGTTTTGCGTGTTATTTTCTTTCAATAAGATATTGTGAACTATCATTTATACCATTTAGAAACAGCATCATTACTTATCATTTATTCATGCATTTTTTTGACATGAATACTAGACATAATTTGATAAAAAGAAGCAATATCTGTAACATGTTGTAGTTCTTGATTAAAAACATTTTTACTGTTTACAAGTTTTTTTGCAAACTCTTTTTATCGGAGGTGCCGCTGGTGATGAAGTTTAGTGAAATCGGATTTTACATAGTTTGCAAAAATACTTATGAATTGTAAAGTTCAAACACTTGTAATCGCAAGTTTTTAGTGAAACAGGCCTCAAGTGGTTCATCCGTAACTGACGCTATAGTTCGTTTTTTTTTTCAAAAGGACGCTGGCTCCAAGTTCCTTATCGAAGCTCTCACGTGAGTTTTGGCAGCTTCAGCGTCTGGCCAAGAATTTCTTACCGAAAAAATATTCGATTTCAAATTGTGCACGGTAAGTACCCGGAAATTGTGTCTTGAAAAATTAGCATACTATGATGACGTCACTGGTGGCAGCAGGCACCCAATGTCCGTACGATGGGACAAAGTTTCGACGAATTTGGGGGAAACTTCGTTTTTCACTGTTGCCGAGGTTATAACCGAGTAAGCGGTTTCGTCCATGATAGTTATACGTTACATTGCAATACAAGTTCGACAGTATGACGTCACCACTGTTCTAATACCTGGTTCCAAAATGCACGTATGGAAATTATTGGGAATACTTCACATGTTAAAATAAGGCGACGTTCGAGTTTCTCAGGTTCAGTTTTTGCTCGTTTTGCTCGCTAAAACGCGTGCTTTTACGAAAAACGTACTTGGAGCCAGAGCCCTTTTGAAAAAAACGAACTATAGTTGAGAAGTAAGTCATATATAATACTGAACGAGGCCGGTGTAAATAAATTTTCAAGACCGAGGTCCTTACTGGATTTTTGAACGAGGCCGAAGGCCGAGTTCAAAAATCAGTAAGGACTGAGGTCTTGAAAATTTATCACCGGCCGAGTTTGGTATGTATTTTACTGTATGCCAACGATAAATTTATTTTCTGGACCGAAGCTCTTAGCCGACTTAGGAACGAGACCATCCCAAAATGTTGGCTTAAGTGCATTCTGGTAATGCATTTTTGACCGTGGTCAATTTGCTTACACCAGTCATTACCACACCCCTCTGGCTAATGTATTTGAATAGGCCAGGCATACAGTAATAACACAGACAACACTGTATATGTTTTTGTTAAGCCTCTTCTGTCCTGTGTTAAGCCTAATGGGAAAAGGCATTGCTCGCTCTCTTGCGCGTTGCAAAGAAAACCTGATTACTTCTGATGCAAACACTTATATCAGTTGAAGCGCAATGAAACTAGGCACAAAATAAGGGGTTTAAAGATGACTGGTTTTGAGTCTAACTTAAGATATAACTCATGAAGTGCTAGGATAGCGAAATCGCCTACTGTGCGACGTCTGGAGGTGAAAATTGTGCATTGCAGCAACGCAATGTGTTTTGTGGAGCCAAAAGGGAGAAGCATAGTGATGTTTTGTTGATTCCACTCACATCTATTATCATTTTGTCGTTTTTACTGCTCCTTTCCGTCCCGACTACCCTGTTCGCTTTTGTTCGCTGTAGGTGGTAGGCTGTGCCGCAGAACACCCGTGTCGTGCGGCACAGTCTACCCGTTCAGGCCGGCCGCGGCTCAGTCGTCCTACCACGCACGTCGGCGCCGCGGTAAACATTGGGACGGTGCCCAGCCCAGCCCCCCCCCCCCCCAGTACCCAAACAGCTGGCTACCTGCTGTCGATGCCAGCTCACCGATGCCTTCGGACACGCATGAGAATCATCGGCTGGCTCGCCCTCTCGACGTGCCATTTCTGAGCAGCTTTTCTGACAATTCGGAGCCGCGATAGCCAACGTGTCTGCCCGCCGCGTTGGGTAGGACACGTTCTGGGGGAGGGGGAGGAGGCCGTAGACCGTAGCGAGGCGGTGTTTTGCACTGTCCGCGACCTTTTATGTTGCATGACTTCAGGATTCTGAGTTTCATTCTTCATAAGTCGTCGGACTACGTGCTATCATATGTATTTGTTGGTCACTTGTATTGATATGCTTATGAAATATGACGTGCATAGCAATGACGGCTTGCTGCACTGCGATGGATGTTACCGAACTGAAAGTTGCATTATGGAATAAGGATGGTGCTTACATGGCATTCCCTTCAACACCTAGTTCGCCGAACTGAACTAATGACGCGAAGACATGAAAATTATTTTCGTGCAACTGCTGATTTCTCTCTGCTGTTCTATTGTGCCCTTGACCATTGCCCCTAGTGGGCATTGTAACCGCAGCCTGATGACTTGAGAGCACCGCTTATGAGCCAGCGCAGTCCTGAGACATTTCATTGAGGCATTACGAGGCTTATCAACTTGTACATTTGTGGGAGCATGCTATAAGCTCATTAGTGTCTGACGTGACAAGTGAATACAATACCTACCACCACCCGTCCCCCGGCGGTGATTTCCGGTGACCGTCACTACTACCCGGGCTACTGCCGACCATAGCAGATCCACCCCGGTAATGCCCGTGTTGTCCCCGGCCCGACTGGCCACCGGTCGCCCCCGGCGCGGAGCGGGACGGTGATCGATGTGCAATACGCGCCCGGTGAGGTGTCGTCTGCTCGCAGTGGCGGTCGATGACAACACGCCGCCGGCCCGGCTCTGTTGGCCGACAATCAGCCACAAATGGAGGCCGCTCACCGAGCGATGGCCCCGATATGGGGAGCCGCCGCCCGCGGGCCGGTCCGAACCGAGCCGGGCGGGATGATGGTAGATTTTTTTCGGTAATCGTGTTGGTAGGTGGAATAAAGCTGACGCTCGCGATGTTTTTTTATGAATTTTGTTAAAATATCTTATCCAGTCGACACTCCACAACCACCTAATCACAGGTCTACTTTTCGTAACCCTTGTAGCTATACGCCGTTAAATATCAACCAATTCGCCCCATTTGCCGTACTACCATCACACTTCTTGTTTTTTCCCCCACCCTGACCAGTGACCACCGAAACGGATCGTTATCTATCCTGTTCTTTCCCGGCAGACTGATTGCAGAACTGGTGACGAGTGACGACATCCCTCCGGCCAAGGGTTCACCGTGGTGCGAGGCGTTCCGGCGACGGCAGCACGGGTCGCACGACTCAGACGGAGAGGGCAAGAGCTGGCGGGACGAGAGTGGGGCGGCTGTGAGGAGAGAGGACCGGAGGAGCGGCGAGGAGAGGGCGTGGAGGAACGCGGACCGTCCGCCGGCGCGGGACGCGCGCAGCTGGAGGGACGACAGAGGGTCTTGGAGGGACGGTGCTCGGGGTGGGGATTGGCGGTAGGTGCGTCCGGGGCCGGTCGGTCGGGCGCCGAGACCACGGACAGCACAGCTGTCAGCCGTCCAAACTGGTCCGTGCAGTGGGCAAACCATGACTCTGGGAAAACTCAGCTGTGGATCTAACCGTGTTGGTGAAGGGAACTCCTACCCGGTTAGAGCAATAGCTCAATAGCTCAAAATGACTCATTATTGCGTCTCAGAGCTGCGGCTCAGCGTAGTTATTTCTCCGTCGATAGTTGTGGCTCGTCGCACTGTAGAGCAGCGTGGCTAATGTCCATTGTCAATGCCGACCCGACCTGCACCGTGCCACCACTGGCCTCTCCTCCCGCTCCTAGCGACCCGAGGCAGCCTCGGATGACGCCTGATATATCGGCTGTGCCGCCACAATAACGAGACCGTGCACGTGGGCGCATCACTCAGCGCACGTGCTCGTGTGATAGGGTTGCGCGTGTCACACCGAGTCTGACACGTGATCGCCCGTGTCATGTTACGAGCTATTGTGTCTGTCTGTGTGTGTTTGTTTGTGTGTGTCTAGGAGGATGAATGTTAGTTGGTGGATGTGTGTTCTGCGGAACAGCCTGCGAGTGTGTGTGGTGATTGGCTGTCGGGGACAGTGTGCTTCCACGCTAAATATGGCCGTGATGGCTGTTTTTGTTTTGTGTGGCTGGTGTAGTTTATTATATGAAGCCTTCCGTTTTTTGTTAATGATTTTTTTTTCTTAGGGCGATTTGCATTAATAGAGGTGCAATTGGACAAATCAATGGCTTTTTTCTCAGGATTTACGTTACAAACGCGATTCGTCATTTATTCAGAGCGAATGTTGGGCAATAAATACTCGGCATTGCGCCATTCATTTTTGTCCAAGGCAATGGTGACAATATACGGGCTTTTCCATGGTTGTTTTCTATTGTTCTGCCTTGCAGTCACTCGTGCTGTATTTGACAAATGCTATATCAACAACTTATATGACTCTATGAGTACCTACTTCTGTTTGTTAATCTGTTTACAATGGTCATTACATGTCAGGGATACGCTAGTGATCTCATGTTGGTCTTTTAAACATGAAACCGTTTACCGCTGCAATTTTGTGTTGCTGTCATTGATGCACATATGTTGCACTTTTTCTAATACACGAATCTGTGTTGCACACAGTATTAGTCTTTCAATAAGTGAAGCCCGTGAAGGAGCTTCCTTAATTGTCGGGCAGATATTTCAGTTCAATTTCGCTCCGTCTCGCGCCCTTGTGTGCAGTTCCCAGTGGACCCTCCCATCCAATCAGAGATCTAGTGACAAAGTAAAGCTCTTCGCTGATTGGTCGAAATTAAACACGAGCCTGTTTGCGTTCGACTCATTTGTCTCATCTGGGTTTCTTCGCAATGTCTATCCAGCTCCACTTCTAACGGTTATTTCTTACGCCGTTGTCTGGCTCTCTAATCAGTAATCGTTATCAATGACATATTCGAAGTTTGTCTTAAAACGTTCGTTAGTGACGACATAACCATGCGAAATATCTGTGTTGCAGACCAAATGTGCAAAATAACTTGCACCAAATGTCCGTGAAAAAGAAGGCTAGTTGTAGTAGCGAAGTGAGGCCTCCCGCTTTCAAAGTTGTGGACATCCACTCAGTTTCGCACCATGTTTTAGGTCAGAAGTTTGAACTATTTCCTGTTGATTGCGGCGAAAGCAGGCATCATTGGGCGGGTTAGTGGCTAACTATAGCCAAACTTGGTGAATGTGACCAGTGACCAGCAGTGTGCGTTTGATTAGGCATGCATTGGGGAAAAAAAATCAAACGCGGTAACTGCTCAGTCCTCGCAAGTTAAACTCGGCTTACAAAGAAATACATGATGATCCTGAGATTTTGAAGAGACGATATTTATTCGTGTGACACTGAAGTTGGTTTTCGCTGCTCGGTCCCACCATTTAGAGACCTGGGGCTCAGAAAGAGGGTCGCTTCATTTGACAAAAGCCTCTTATTTCGGCTGAGGCCACTAGAGAATGTATTTCTGGGAAGCGGCAGTGGCTGATCTCTCCGAGACAGTGCGTGTCCCCGACTGGTCCGAGCGATACGCTCTCGCACACAAGGCAGCTCGGAAACTGTCTAAATTGCTCGCAGCCTAAATCAAAGGCCTGCCGCCAGATGAGAAGGCAACTATTCACTAGTTCTTTACAGTGCAATAGACGACTATGAATCACTAGAAGTGGTCTATGATCGTGCATTAGTTAGTGTTGATCAATCTTCCCAGAATCCGTTTAAACTACGGAATCATTGTTATAACTATTTTGCGTTTTTTTAGACGTAATATTATGTAAGCACAACCAATACCCAAAGTTATGACGAGTAAAGTCATAACAGACTCTGCTGGTGTCTCAGAGCCCAGTGATTTTACATTGGCGAAGGCGGGTCGTTTCGTGGAAAGGTGATGACCCCGTTTGGCCCCAAGCGAACCCATCTACGAATGTGCCCGAGCTCCGCCAGCTGCTCACACCTTGTGCGCTCGAAAATATACATGACATCTCGGGACCGGCAAAATAAACGAAACGAAACATCAACTCCTCATCGACTGGGTGTGAAAATAAACGCGCAGCAAAGCTGAAGAAGAAACGAGAGGCCATAGGCGAAGACGTGCAGGATATCTCTGCCAAACGTTTCGTCAGTGCTTGCCTCCGTCTAATGAACGTATTCACAGATTCTATTATTTATTTATTTATTTTTATTTTTGCACGCATCATTTTATTGAAGTAAATGCAAAAATTAACTGCTTTAAATCTGGAACCTAGCGTAGTGGGATGATGTCATCCCCTAATTTTAACGTCACTCTTCATTGAACCTTTTCGTTTTTCTGTTGGCCGTCTAACAGAGCTTCCTTCAAATCTGTCTGATACCTGCCAAAGAACCGCACTCCACACTGGCCACTGGGAATCATCGCGTTAGCCGTCTGACAGCACCGTCGCCCGCTTTTCCACTCCGCAGTCCCGTCGCCGTCAATGGCGAGTGGGTAAAAAGCGGCACCCAATCCCGGATGTTCTTTTTGCGGTGGCTGGTGCGCTAATTCCTCTCAGAACTCCGCCCAGAGTGGTCTGGGAAGTGAGAGAGTCGGTCTCCTCGCGCAGGGATAGGGTGCTTTTGTAGGATGTCGCCTTGCGGAAAGCCGGTGACTGCTGTGTGCGTGGTAATACGTGGGAGCGCATTGGGGATCGCAGATGTGAGAGGGTGCTCTCTGAGCTGTGCTAAGCCGTGCTGGTCGTGAGATGGCATATGTCGGAGTTCATTCTCTGACTTGTATTGAGTTGTCATGAGGTGGGCTGATTTGTGTCAGCTGTGGCGGCTGATTTATACGGGCCTTCATCGTTTCATGCTTTTATTCGATGGGATCAAACATAAAGTTAACAGTACCTACTAAATCTAAAAATGTGGTGGCTTGTAGTCCGCAAACTTCATCCATATTTAAGTACAAATATTTTCACGACGTTTGCATGTCTGCCTGTCGCAAACGCTCACCGGTGGCAAACTTCAAAGCAGTGTTGTCTAGGCCAACAATATCAAAGAAATATCAAAGACTTCTTTTCAACAATATGCTCAGACATGACATGTTGCGGAGCGCTGTGTATTTACTGTCAAAGTTTGTGAATACAGGCGTCAGCTGCTGCCTGACGTTAGATGTCGTTGAACTTAGAGCACGACTTAACTATGTCGGGCCGCTGACCTTTGCCAATCGATCAATTAAATTATCAGACCGAACACCACTCAGACAAGAAGTTTTCGCTGGCGCCGTAAATCACGGAGCAACCAGCTTGCTTCGGATTTTGGCGTGGGGTCAAGTTTAGAGGGCACTGACCGCCCGGGTCCCAGGACTATCTCTGACCGTATGTGTCTCCCCGGCCAGTTAACGCTGTTGGTATTACATGGTGTCCCTAGACCGCCGTCTGTTGGTGGCTATAAACAAGCCGGCCGGAGTTGGGCTCCACTATGGTACCCCAGTGGGCGTTTAATTTCGGGATCCCATCACAGAGACCGGGTTTTCTTTGTTTATCTGGCTGGGGGATCGCTCGGGCTCTGCGGCTCGTTGACAAACTGAGGTTCTTTAGTTCTATGTTAACTCTTAGCTCCCTCTGGCATTCTACACATCACCTGAAGGTTTTGTTTTCTGTATTAGGAAGCATTGAGATGGTCGATTCACCGACCGCTGACCATACGCTGGTGGCTGTCGGGCAATTTAGGGAAAATTCAAATGACATCAAGATTTCTCTGAAATATGCATAAAACTTTGGAAAACGTCTCTCATCTGAGCGAAATCCAGCAAACTTTATGCCAAGACTCGTCCTAAAATGACGCTGATTAAAAGTCTTCTCTGATGAGTTCCTCATGAGAATGGGTCTCTCCTGTCGGTTTGGCTGTTAAATCTTCACCGGATGGGCCTTCAGGCTTGCGGCTGGTCAGCTCAGCAGGGTCCGGAAAGGTGTTTGGTGGCTCGGCCCTGGTCATCAGCCTAAAGTTGCGTCCCCTAAATCAGCATAGCACTGTTGGTGCAGATCGGTTCGCTCTCACCCAGGGAAGGCTATTTTTTCATGGTTCGCACTTTTATAAACTATCCAAAACCGTTTTTCTTCTATCAAAAGTCGCCGCTCATTTCCTTTTTCAAGGTTGAACTTAGCGATGCTATATAGTTTCCCGTAAATCTCACCAAGTCCCCGCTATTGGGCACAACTATTGATTTTTGCCATCGGCGTTCAGCTACTGCCCGACCCGCTCTGACCGGACTCTACGACCGCTAATTCCGCCGCCTCTGCTCAGACTCTCCCACCCCACCCCCAGTCCACAAATAACCAGCAGCCTGGTCTACAGCAGGATCACAGGTATTTACCGCCATTAGAGAGAGCCGACCCGTCATTCACCACAGCGCCGATCCCCCTGTCCCGACTGAAGATACCGTCCCGTCGCGGCCGACGACGCTGTTTCCGCTGCCATTACCAGCTCTGTCTACAGAGACGGATCTCCCCGCTCCTCTCCCTGCCCCTTCTGCCCCTCCAGCATCCCGACAGCCCGCGCATCCGATGGGCCGCGCTTTTCTCTGAGGAGCGGACCATCCGTCCGATTCTGTCCCACTGACCGCGTCGTGCAGGCTGATTGCGGAGGCGGTCGGACGATTTTGTCCGGGCCGCGTCGAGGCCACCGATTGTTTGTGGCGCCAGCGATTTGCGAATTTAGCGTGTGGCTGCGTTTGTTCGTTCTCTGCTTTAGTTGCGAGTTGATTTCGTTTGGCTGTATAAACTGAAGCGACTTATTTGCTGATTTTGGGAAGAAAGCTATTTTCCCTCCTTTCAAACCTAAGCATCGAAATTACCAACAGCATAGAAAGACATGTCCAGCAGAAAGGCTGTGATACGCTGTGATACATGAATTCATTTATTTTGCATCCAATTATCTTGTTGTCCTTTTAGTTGAAGCTTTCCTTTGCAAGTGTACGTACGTACTACGTACCTACAAAACAACAAAGATCTACAAAGCAGGGTCGTCATGTCAACAGCATCAGCCTGAAGCAGAGCAGCTTTGGTTTCGCACGTAATCCTTCATTTGATGTCCAAAGCCTAAGTAGGGAGCAGAGATTATATAATGCTGGCAGCTGACATTGTTTTGTCTGATTGGCTTGTTTTGTACTCGAGAGGCTCTTTACTGTTAGGTGTCGACTGTCGTTGTGTTTACGTTAGTTTGTGTGGAGGGTATCTACATAGGACATATTGTATATTGTTATTGTTGGTAATAAGGGATGAGATAATAGTGCTATATCATCCATGGTAATACCTACTGGCATCCTCTGCACATCGCAATATCCCGACCTCCCATCCATCTGTTTTTAAGCTATAAGCAAATGCTAATGATTGTACTTTCTGCTCACAGATGACATGTGTCCACACTCCACATTTATTTATGCTCCTTCGCTCCAGACATGTTCAACCTCTGCTCTGTAGTATGTATTTGATGGCTCATTCCTCGCAAACAGGACACCTCATATGAAGCTGGGAAGACGACGGAGTGTCACCGCGTTCGGTGACAAGCCCACAAACACGGCTTCCCAAGTCCTCCCAGATCCCATATATCCGAGAACCAGGATCGCGCCTCAGATCCGAGACCCCTCTCAGCCTGACGGTCGCCAACGAGTGCAAAATATGGCCGTATGGTCACATCACTACTATGGAAGTCAAACCCCTTGAGACCCCACTTTTTTGCGATAATTTTTAAATGCGTTAACTCTCGTTGATGATATTCTGGCAATGTGTGTTTCAGAACCTGCCGAAACTTTTATTACTAAGGTATTTTGACGCCAAACAATTATGAAAGGTACTTCTCATTCACTCGTAATGTTAAATTTCACGGAACAAATCTGCTGTTTGGGAAGAGGCTACGCGCTCATGGGGCGGAGCCACGTAATGACGTCAGCGCTAAGCTCCGCCCTACCCCTCCGGCGCTTCTTGCCCGGTGACCGGTCACTTGCGTCTCGCGCTCCATCCAGGCTTGATGGTGGGCGGTAGCTGGTAGCGGTAGCGGGCGCTGGTAGATGACATTAAGAGCAGATGGCGCTGGTGGCGGGGCTCGAGTATGGCCGAATGCAAGCCTCTGCCCGGGCCTGAATTGACCTTAGCATTACGAGTGAATGAGAAGTACCTTTCATAATCGTTTGGCGTCAAAATACCTTTGTAATAATAGTTTCGGCAGGTTCTGAAACACACATTGCCAGAATATCGTCAACGAGAGTTCACGCATTTAAAAATTATCGCCAAAAAGTGGGGTCTCAAGGGCTTTGACGTCCATAGTAGTTACCACGCACATTGTGAATGAAGCGAGCACAGTAATGTTTCAGTAGATGACAGCTATACGGTCATGACAGAACGACGAACGACGTTCATATGCGCACGGCAGCGCGCGCGGGTATGGTCACTGCGGAGACACATAGCACATGAACTGCCAACGGCCTGCTCTGATAACGTGTCAATATATCAACACGTACATACACCTCCAATCAGAAACACCTCGCGAAGCCAATCAAACCACGGACGAATGACGCGATACTGCGCACAGCGAGGCTACCACGCTGATAACAAGACCCGTTGCCTAGCAACGCGTCAACGGTGGCGGACATCAGCGCCGCAGTTCCCGGAGAACAGAATGGGTCGGTGCGCCCGAGTCTCGCCATATTCTCGGGATAAGAGAGACGGATGCATGAGGAGGTATCTCGGCTACGTGGCTGCATCCTGGTCGCTACTCGTACAGCGCAAATATTACAATTGAAACTTGTGCCTCTAGTAAAAATATGACTCCACTCGAGATATTTCTCTCTCTATGGCATTTTAACAAGATCTACTGTCCTACTTATCACTTATGATAAAGGAGTATTACATCAACGCTCTCCCTACCCTCCCTACTCTTTCTCATTCACTCAGTTTTTCACTCACTCACTCACTCACCCACTTTACCAGACAAGGTCAGCAATCTGCATTACATTATACGTGTAATACGTAAATGCTCACTCACTCTACTCACTCTACGTAAATACATTACCTATTTTTTTAGCACGTCCTCACACCCGGCGACACAAATACATTGAACCGGACGACTCCTTTCATATTGACGGTACATTACAATCAAACTTGTAACTTTTAGCCGCCACCCTCTCATATCCTTCCTCTTTTGACAGTAGGTTAGTACCTTGGCAAGCATGGGCATAGAGCGTCTCGGTACACCAATATTTGATATTCGAGACAGATCCCACGGCTCTCTGATAAATGGTCGTCACCCAATGACCTGTGACGTCACTCCGGTCACACTTCTCGCGGCCAATCAACGGTGGCGTTCTGGGTCGTCTCTTTACGACGACCGGGGGACACGAGTCAGTTAATCGACCAGTTTCTGATCGGTCAGAGCTGATCAGTAGTCAACTAACCACTGTGTTTGTGTTAGGGGATGGAGAGTGGGTTGGCTGTTGGGTTAGCTGAATACCTATCGGCATTGTCGATCGTGCGGGCTGCATTAGATGAATGCAGGCTGTCTAGGACAAACGTCACTTATCTGTCGTGAGACAATCTGGTCATATGCCTGAATCCATCATGTCCTGATCATCATGACGGTCGTTTCACATGACAGCTTTCTGACAGTTGCCCTGAGCAATGCCTGCTATGGCCATACATCTTTATCGTCTGACAGCAGTCAGAAACTCGACTCTCCAGGCCCGTCCCTACTCTGGTCTGACGATCTGTCAGTAACAAGTGAAGACATGAGGTCCGGCACGCGTCGGTCTGTCGTACGCCGATGATATTTTCGTCTGACAGTGTGTGTTACCGACGCACGACTTGGGTTGACGACTGACAGACGGCATCCTGCGGTCAGACAGCTTGCAATAAGATGCTGGTTTGACATACTTCCATCATCACTTTGATATCCATCAAAATTCAAATCAGACGTCATCATGAGTGGCCTGACATCAACCTACACCGCGCCGGTCAAACATTGATCTAACGTCTGACACTGTATGCTGACATCTGACACTTATCTGACATTGATCTGTCATCTCACACCTATTCGCGACAATGATCTTACGCCCGACACCACCTGTCCGTCACCTCACAATCGGTCTGTCATCTGTCACCAGGCATTTGTCTGTCATCTGACACCCATCAGACATTGGTCTGACACGCCCCGGACAGTCCTGACATGCCTCCGGAGAGGCTCTCCCGCTGTTCGCGCTGCTCGGCAATCACTAGTGACACCAGGTCCACGGCCGACTTGACCTTCCTGGCCGCGGTCAGCTGGCTGGTGATGGGAACCATCAGTGAGTTCTGACGCGGCCGGTTCGGAGAGTAGTTGGGTAGCATGTAGCGCCCGATCAGGCCGTCATCGTCCATCGAGTTGATGCGTGAGCTCTGCAGGAACAGGTCAGGTCAGAAGGAGAAGGGGATGCGCGTCAGATGGGGGTGGGTCGGCCACCGAGGTCGGGTAACACAGTAATGTCATTTACTAGAAGCTCTTGTCGGTCAATATTTTACCAGCACTCGCATTAAGACAAGTGCAGCACTTCAATTCTGTGACCCAAATGGCGTCAGCAGCCCTAGAAACAGTGCTAACTATGATGGTGACTACGAGCAGTCCCTATTCTCACTTTGACGAGCAAATAATTAGACCTAGGGGCGAGATGGGGGGGGGGGTGCGGAAGAGACGCATCCCGCGGGGAGGGGAGGGGTCAGCCATTACCGACCGCGTCTCCGGTGACGTACTCTGCTGATGAGGCGCCGCCGCAGGGGGCCAAGCGTCATCAGTCATTAAATAAGCGGCGCACTTCCGTGCTACCAGGGCATTGGTGCTGTGGCTGTGGATTGGTGCTGTGTCAGTGGATTGGTGTTTTGTCCGTGGATTGGTGCTGTGGGTGCCAGGAAGGACTTGTGTCCGTGGAATGGAGCTAGCTATGACATTCATGTGGATTGATTATGTGAACGTTGCCGTGCACTTCCTGTATGGCACTGATCCATAAAATGTACACAATAGCCGTTTTCACGACGGGCTATCCGGCGAGTGCACCTAATTTGACCAAATCTGCTCCTAATCTGCACCAAATGTGTACCAGATGGCCGTCGTAAAAGCAGCTAATAGTGCTTGTCCCAGAAAAAATTACGTTTTACAATCGTGATTGCCTTGATGCACCTTAGTAAATTAGGAAGGCGCAAAGGACAACGTAATATTGACCTTTGAATTACAACATCCCAAAAGTTGTTGCTTATTTTGAGCTACGTGGGCAGTGTGCACCACGGCACTGTTCGGCGCCGATGCTCCGCACTTTCTTTTCGCAGGCTGAGTTAGGCTAGCCCGTCAACCACGTCTGTTATGCGGGACTGCATACCTATGCAGGACTTCGCCAAACTTCTCGAGATATACAAGAATTTGTCATGAGCCCGCAACTCAGCTATTTGTAATTCAGTTCCAAAGCGAATATTACCAGTTGGTATGTACCCGTAGCTGATATGTACATAACAGTACTCGTAACCTCATTTGCTTTCTATCAGATAAATAAAGCTCGTCTTCTTATAGCGGTGTCAGAGAACACAGAAAAGACAATGTGCTGTTGTTCATCTTCGTTACATAAATAAGCCGGTCTGAGCCTCTCGGCAGCTATTCGGGGAACGCGAGGTTTTATCACCAATTTTGCCAAATAAATACCATCTAAGGCATTAATGCCAAGCATCGATTCGGAGACAGGAAAAAGTTGCAAAGATGTTTTGCGGTTTCCTAGTGTTGATTAAATATCGGCTGCCCGGCTGGCAGCCTGTAAGATGCTCATAATCAGAAGTGAAGAGCACTCGGCTGCGTATTCTTATCTAGCGTCGCACTGCCTTCAGTATCCACAAAATGACATCCCATGGTAGGTTAGAAAATGGACCAAGTCACCAACGCATTGGCGTAAGGCGGCGCCTAACGATAACACTTCTCTACGCCTCGTGCACTGCCGAGGCCGCGACGATGCCCGCATATTGCCATCCACTGAGGTCCGTATAATCTCATGTTAGACTGTTATGCTGGCAGATGAGTTTCCGGGTCGCCGCTCGCCGCCCGCGACAGTCTGAGACGGTCGCAGGAGCTGGCATGAGGTCACAGTGAGCTTGGGATGCCAGAGAAATCGAGGAAAATGACAGCGCTGGTGCCTTTCGAATTGTGGTACTCTAGAGCGGGAATGGTTGATTGGATGGTGTTAACTATTTACGAGCTTTGTTTTAGCTCGAAGACTTCCACATTTAATCAGCTCTTATTTTTTTTAGTTGTAAATGACCAGTGTCCGCTTAAAACCTGGAGTTGACACATTCTGATTCTGACGTCATCATCAAAAAATGATTGCCGCACTTCCTTTCCCGGATTCTCTCCATTGGGAGTTGTTCAGCCTTGGAGCAGCCTGCCACAAGGCACCAGCTCAGCACTGTGGCAGCGCCGGCCAATTGACGCTGATTCGCCACTTTGGGGCCGCAGTCGAGCGTCCCGGCCGATTGGTAGCGAACAAAACAGAGCAGTCAGCACGCGGCGCCGATCTCGGCCAATATCCTCTGAATAATGCGCCGAATAGATCACGTCAGTCTGAGGACGGGCCGACCGAATAAATTACACTGAGGGTTGGACTTAGAATATTTTATGGATGATTATATGGGAGCTAGTAATAGCCGTTTTCACGGCGGCCATCTGGTACACATTTGGGGCAGATCAGCTGCAGATTTGGTGCAAGTTTGGTCAAATTAGGTTCAGTGTGCTTCTAAAAGTTATCAGTTTGGGTTTGCACAGATGCTTACCATGATGTGTATTGTAAAAGAGATTTGGTGCATATTTGGTCAAATTAGGCGCATTCGCAAGATAGCTCGTCGTGAAAACGGCTAATGCCAACTGAGTTATTTATTTTGCAGATCGATGCAATTCACGCTTATACTTTAAGTAAGTTTTCGTTAAATTTGAAACGTCAATTGGAAAAACAAATCATGTCAAGTGTGTTATAAAGCATTTGAGATTTGCCTCATGTTGAGAGTAGTGTTTTATTATCACGATTTACAAAATGTTTTCACATTTGTATAAGTTGTTACACGCAATATTTCATATAAGCTGTCACACAACAGACACGTCTTTTTACTATTGTGAAACGATATCTCCCATTGTACATAGGTAATTATCCGGAGGAAAGTAAATGATCGATTTTTAAGTGGCTTGAAAGTAATCCATAAGTTGAAATGTTGTGACATTTATCACATCACATGCCAAGGTTTTCCCACATAATCAATTCAAGAAGTAGGTATGACTATTTAGGGACTATAGTTTGGCACTAATCAATGCAGTTTATGTCGATGAACCAAGGAAGTCACGGACGATAGAACTACGAATCTTCAATATATCGAATAAATAAGTAAATAAAAGTGGAACACCAAAGTCTAGAGACTATCACAACACAGCACCAGACAACACCACGCAGCATGTGTAGGTACTCTTCGCTGGTCAAAACAAATGGCTCACTGTAGTCGTTCCCGATGGCATATCAACACTTGGACAAAACACTTCCCTTTCAGCTATTTGGGCTCTTGAATAGGTAATCAAGTTAGCAATAATATACCGTGACAGCTCGAGGCTATTGGGTGGAGACAGTATTTTCTGCTGGCTGAGCGTTTGTTGTCTAAATGCTGCACTTTCCTTTGTCTACAAAAGTCAGCGTTGATATGCCACAGAGAGCCATATTGTGCTGTCACCACAACAACCACAGACCGTTTCTGTCTAAGTGCATGGTGAAGTTATTGTCATATGAACAGAAGACCAGCATTCTCATCAGGGAAACTTGTTCTCCACACGAAATAAAACATAGCCATCACTACAAAAACAAATGTCAAAACGATAACACAACTACAACGAATGAACATTTTTTGCGGAGTAGGGCAAGCCAGAGAGCCCAGCTCAATCCCATATTGATTCTAGCCATCACCAATGGAGTAGTCCTTAGTCACGACATCATACGTGCAGTCGGTATGCCTGTTGTGTAGCCAGGGTTCACGACCTTTGGTTGCCAGGCTGGAGCAAACCAGCCCGCGGGTGGAGTCTCGCCATATGACCCCCCCCCCCCCCGGGCTCCGAAGTTACACCGATAGAAGTGCTCTACGTCTGCTCATCTGGTCATACTCTGACACTAACGACGACCCGGAACAGATTCCTCAACGACTCCGCATGGGCCAAACGTGGCCAGAGAAGGACCAGAACCAGATTGTATGGCCAGTGCTCAATATGGGGCATCACTTGACCGTATCAGAACCATTTCAGCGCTAGGGAATGTACTAGATGGATTTGATTTGGCTGGTGCAGGGGCTTTCAAGTTACCTCAATGGGGATATTTTTTATGAACATTTTTACGCAAATGAAGCCGCGAATGTGGCAGATTGAATGCTATCACTACCACTTTATAGTTTCACTGGCTTTGCTTGTATTTTTATTTTATTTTATTTATATTATTTTTCTATTTCTTTTTTTTTGCTTGGATCGTTTGGGTTCATTTTTCACTATTTTTTGCTTGCTTCAGATGAGAAGTGCGTCATCTTTGTCAGGCATAAAGAAGTCAAATTTACTTTTTTCAGTTTTTCCTACTTTGCATTATTGTATGCAACCATGATAAAAAAATCAAAACCAAAAGCTATATTGCTCCGTGTGGTTAGTCACCATCATGCAATTCTACTGTGTCTCAAACTGAATGTGCAACTGCGTGTCGAGGAGGGGCGTGCGCCGCGTCTCGTTCGGGCATGCTGTCTCGTGCAGACCGGTCCGGTCCGGGCCTGCGGGCCCCGGGTGTCAGCACAGAACACATACGTTGGAGACGTCGACGAACCGAGACAGGCGTCTCTGATAGCTCTCCGACATAGACTGACGCTGAAAAGAACGGTCCAATGGAGCACAGGTTAGCGCCAGAGAACGCTTACCGAGCGAGTTCTGTTCTACCCGCCGGCGTTCGGTGCGATACGATTGCGATATAGGCTATAGCTAATAGCGGTGCAGCAAATAAGGTGAAATGCTTTTAATTATCTAGTTTGCACATTCTAATACATAGCCTTGTATTCTGGCGTGAGGTGCTTTATTCTATACATGTAAATAAAGATAAAGAATCTGAGAGAGGCAACCTACTTAATACTTATGCTTGCTCGCAAAAATGCCAATTTGAATTTCCTTTACCATTTGTCGGCAGTTGATTCGCTTCACATAAATATATATTCAGGTGAGGCTCAGCCTTTACATTTGATATATTTTTTCAATGATTTGACGCATTTAAACACGTCCCATTTCCAACGTTGTGATCTTTATGCAATAAATTATCCTGCGCTATGACTGCCCTGTTTGTGAAAAGCGATAATGTGAACACATATATATTGCACAAACCGGTTTCGATATCACTTCATCAGTGTGCAAATATATAAAAAAATTATATATTTGCACACTGATGAAGTGATATCGAAACCGGTTTGTGCAATATATGTATATGTGTTCACATTATCGCTTTTCACAAACGTCAAACTGTGATACCACTGCCCTGTTTGTTAAACGGTTTGAGGTCTACTGATTTTCTTAAATATGCGTCGCCTTGAATTGGTAATTCTGAAGTGAAATGGCCATATTTTCATCATAACTACGAGATTGATATCGTTGTTTTCACGCCAAGACCCTGACCCCGTGTTTTTGCGGGCTTACTTAAAATATGCTAAGAGGAAAGGGGCTGAATTTATCGCGAGCGCTCAGAAGCCTGTGCCATAACAGAGTGTAGTACCTACAGAGTGAAAGTGGCTCACAACCTGACGGCCATTTGTATTTCTCCACGAAGAAACGCCTTATCCTGATGAATGTTTAGCACATTTCAGTAACAACCCAACCATTCACTCTCCTATTTCTTTTTCGAATGAGCCCTGTATCACAGACAGCGGTGGCAGCACATTTCTCATATCGACCGTGGTGCCGAAGCGTATTTGCTGAATTCCGACGGCAGGTCAGCAAGAGCAAACATTCAGCTGCAGCTGCGCGCTTCTCATGGTCTGACTACCAGACATCAAAACAAATTTCTGTTTTCCGCTCCACATCGTGTTAGACCCGGGGAGGGCGTTAAACTGACGTGAAATTGCCACCCCAACAACTGATCAGTCTGGCAAATTTTCACCATATTTTACCGAATGGAAAGATGATCTCCGCATCAATGCATGGCGATAAGGCTGACATCCGCGATGTCGATAACTGTTTCACAAATGTTCACTATTTTTGACAATAGTTGAAACGCACCTCTAAAAGAGAAGTAACTTGACACAGTACAAGATACAAGCTATCATAAATGAAATAGCATTGTTTTTTTTTGGGGGGGGGGGGTATCTACATGTCATTTGACAAGCAAGCTCGATGCATTGCACAACTTTAGAACAAATGCGGAATAGAAGTTTCATGCTCTATACCTATATTCTCTGATATAATGCTACACAAGTATGACATTTTAAATCGTTTCTTTCGCCTGCATCCCTTACCTCTTCTCCAGCACTCGTTTGCTTTATCTCTCACACTGACACCACCACAGTCTGGTCCAACCTCACCTCAGTAACTCACCTCACTTTACCTACTCTTCTCCTCAGACCTCTGCTCACATCACCTGACCTCAGCTCCTCTCACCCCTCTCACCACTCTCACCCGTCTCACCTGGCCGGTAAGTGCCTCGGCGCGCGGCGTCATCTTGTACGCCGGCAGGTAGGGCTCCAGCATCCGGATCTTGCCCCAGCGGTTGATGAAGAGCGCGATGGCCAACAGCCAGAGGAGCAGCACGAGCAGCACCAGACCCACCTCCTCGGCAGTGACCGGCAGGGAGCCGGCCGACGAGGGGCCGGAGGGAGAGGTCGTGTGCTCGCCCCCCGCCGGCGGCTCCGACACCTCAGAACCTGTTGGCCAGACGATGTCGTTAATCACCGTCCCGTGTGCTGCTGACTGAAGCTGTTGCTCTGATGAAGTATGAACCCGTGCTTTGGATGAGTTTGTAAGCTCGGAGGTTAATTAGGAATATCAATGGGTGGGCAAGCAGCGTCAGGCCGCCCGAAGCTGCTGCACCTGGCTTTGACGTATTGAGAAGCACTGTCGATCAATATGGATGGTTCCGAGAAGGGTCGATGATTGGATCAGATTTCAGATAATCCGGTGCACGAAAAAAACAACCTTGAACTTTGCCTAAAGAAGCTTCATAGCACTTACCACGATATGATTTGCTATGCAGGAAACGTTCGCTCAGCCTAAAGGCCGCCCCACACTGGAACTCGCATGCGGGTTGCGAGTTTGCGGGTTTTCAGTTTGCGGACATAATACTAATTCATAGAGTGATTAGACCGCTTCCTAATGGTAACTTCATGTATGCAGTGAAACCGGTACACCTTCAGAAACTTACATGCAGTCGCAATACCAGCGCAAGGAACCAAAATTCGACTCCAACGAAAAACCCGCAAACCTCGCAGAACTCGCAGACCTCGCAGCGAGGAAAATCGAAAGTTGACTCAAAATCAGCTTTTGAAATGCGATGCAAGGTCGCTCGCAAGCTAAAACATGCAGACTCACTTGTTGGTAGTGTGGGTCACTATACCGTTGACTAATCTTAATATTTCAGGATACATAGGTAACAACCGTAGCTTCCTGCAAATGTCCAAACAAAGTGCCTCAACGAATACAAGACATGTTTATTCGCATGTTTCAAACACTGGTGTCGTAAACCAAGTACCTATAAAGAAATCGAAAATCACTATTTACGGCTAAGTTAGCACTTTTGCATCTCGGGATGCACAAGCTCAAGGTTTGATTATTTCGCAAAATAAGACATCCGCTAATAAACACAAAACAATTTGTCACCTGTTGTATAGGGGTTGGAACAGAACGTATAACAAGTGGAACGAACAGAACATGTGTATTCGAATGCCTTAAACAAAGGGTACACCAAAAACTTAAGCAGCAGCAACGCGCATGGAACACACTCAATGACGTGGAAACATCCAACACCCGATACTTAATCAAATCAAATTCTACTGTCTCAGTGATCTCCTAACTCGTTAATCCCACAGCAATTTCCTGCGCATAATGACTCGCACTGCGGCACTGGTGTAGTCAACCTTTACGAAACAGGAAATCACCATGGTACTACTGCAAACAAAGATCTTGTTATCATGACAACGGCCTTTAAGAAGTGCGGCACAGCTTTTGAAAGTTTTCAGAAAATTCAGGTTTGCTCTTTCAACAGAAAAACACAACGCTAACCAAGTGCGTCCGCATTATTGTCCCTTATGGGATTATTGTCCTGTATCTATCACTTCGACGCCGTCTCGTTGGAGTTCGCCACTGTTTGGCTGGCCGTGATCACTACAGCCCAAAGTCCACGAAGCTGTCCCACAGCTTTGGCTGACTCTGAAACAAGCCAGAAGACCTGCGCTCATTTAACAATCCTTCATGAAATCCCTATTTAGGTGCTTCGACTCGACCAGTTATTCGATACTTAATTCGCGATTTACTTTCATACCCTCCGAAAATAAAAACACAGTCTTGACAGGTATAGTATTAAGCCTATTCCGGGCGGGGGCCTTTTCGGCCCTCCTCAGGTTTTTCTTGTTTCATTGCCAAACGCCTCAAGATATTCAGCTCATCTTGGCGACTTTTCCTAAATATTCATTACGCAAATTTCAGCAAAAAAAATCCGGTTTCGGTCAGGTCAGGTCACCAGAGCGGTTTTTATACCCCACCTCAGAAAAGTTTGCAATCACGTCAGAGCTAGAGTTTTTCACGGAGCGATTTCCTCTCTTCAGGTCTTCATTACAGTATCTACCAGCATGTGTGATTTGCATATATCAGAATTTGTACCTACCTTTCTGTGACCTGAGGTCAGGTTAGAGTCGTGATCATCCTACATTACAAGCCTATGTGAAAATATTGAAATGCGTCCTGCTTCGAGTAAACGAGTCAAAACCATCAAATTATTTGGGGACTATGACAGATTATCTGATCTGTAATGACTCAGGTGCCTTTTACTGACAGGGGTACCGGGAATGGTCATCTGAGGTCATGTGACGTCATCAGTGGTTTTTAGCTAATAAATCACGACATGATGGTGCTAAAGACTTGTAAATGTACCAAACCGTTTGCCTGGTCATGGCGCGTTGATTGGTATCCAGCGTGATCTTCTTAGGCCCAATTTTGAAGTTGACCTATTAAAGGTCATGCAAGTGTAGCGTGTGCTCACCGGGAAAGAAAGCAAGAACCTAGACCAAGATATATGTACAATAACGAGAATGAGATAAGCGAAAGCAAATAGACAGTCCCTAAACAGAGAACCAAGAGCCAACGCAGCGAGCCGGCCGCAGACCGCGTCCGTCCGACTCCGCGCTCCCGCTCATTCTACTCGCCGCCGCGCGGCGCACCCCGTCCGCCCGACCGCCGGGTCACGTGACCAGTGGGCAGCCTCAGGCGCAGGCCGTTCACCGGTCGGCCGGCCGGCCGGTGGACTGCACCAGCTGGCCACCGCCGCGGCCAGCGACGCGACACTAGCACTACACTGTACCTGTTTCAAACAATTTATTTTTTATTACCTCTGGTGACCTCAATATTGACCGGACCTCCAAAAATATATATTAAAGTTGTAGGCCTTTTAACGAACTATCAAACGCCGTTTACCATTTGTCGCTCCGATTAGTGGTTTTCGAGATCTGAAGGGGGTCGAAAAGGCCCGATTCCGAACCATTCAGAGTCCGCCCGGAGGGTTATAACTTACCTTCGCGACAGGCGCATGCAGGAAAAGCTCCCGCAACCGGACGCTTCGAAGCAGTCTAGCCTCCTCCACGTTTCCGCCTCAGTCATCCTGTTACTGCTGTATCTGCAGTCTGCAACCACCACTCCACATCTATTCTCCACTTAATCTCCACAATATGCACCGCACAATTCGATAAACATCAATGACTCTTTATGATCTGAGCACTGCCAATGCGCTCCACGCTTCAGCCGACCAGACTGATAAAAAATGGCGGCGAACGCTCGCGCGCATTCGACCTTTTGCGCATGCGCGAAAGGAAACCCCCGTAAGCTACTTTGAGAACACCTCCACGGATATTTTACACCTTTAAGAAGCAACGGACGTCTTTTAAAAGTATTTACAAGGTAATTGTAGGCCTCAAGGTGTAAACGTACCGCTTTGATGTCGTTTTGATACCTCTTTCGGTGTACATAAACTGATCCCATCTTTTTATAGTCTAGATATACTTTTTGTACCTCCACGGTGTTTGATAAACTAACCACCTTCATTTCTACTTCGATAAAAAAAGAAGGGATGTGTTATGGAAGTGTACGATCATTCTTTTGAAGATACCACTCACTTTAAATAGTGCATTCGGCGTAATTGTAGTCTCTGTACAATATTCATGAAATACTTTGGTGTAAAATAAACCAGCTCGGTGTTAAAATTTTTCTGTGAACCACGAGCGCGCTGCGGTGGGGCCCTGAAAGGTATGCTGTGCCGCAATACAGCGATGTAGGGCGGAACAGCATCGAGCTACTTTGGCTGGAACTTTGGCGCCGGCGAGGATTGTATTTATGCTGAAATTCCGTCCAGTTGCCGCTGAATGTGGCTTGTAAATTGCATTGTGATGGTCAGACTTCGTGCCCTTTTCATCGCGGTCTATAGCTACCCCCCCCCCCCACGTAACACTTTTAACATGAGCTCCAATGCATCCGAGACACCGCCGGGGTCAGGAAGACAAGGGAGAGAATCGAACCGAATGGAAACATATGGTAACCATTACTTCTTTGAGTAAAAATTAACGAAATTCTCAATGAGGAGCTTCTTCAAGGGCTCTGACAACGCAGCTACAAATAGAACATTGCTGTGCAATATCCTTTCCCCTCTCCATCGGACCGGTAACACGGAAGACATTTTCTCATGTGTCTCGACCCCGTCCAATGGTACACTCGTACACATCGTGCTTCCAGGGCGAACTCATCTGATGCAATGGCGGAACTGGCAACATTGGCGCTGGTTGGGAGACGAATTCTCGCGCCATGGGTGTCATAGTGAGCACTTGTTTCGCTATGGAAACGGCGAGAGAGCATTTGTGACGAGTGTATATGCATTTGCTACACGATTTTTTTTTTAAATTATGCTTTGAAGAGCAGTTAGAAAGCAATGCTGTAGCAAGACTGGGACTGGAGAAACTGGGCTGGTGCAAAGGTCGTAGAAAACGGATGGCGGTTTGCTCCTCAACGAAAATCAATCGCTTATCTATCGGCTTTCAAGCCGCTGAGCTGTTTCATTTTCATGAGTTGAGCATCTCATTCTCTTCCTATTTTTCAAGTAGCACAGCCGGCTATATTCACATATTCATCCACAAGCTGTCAGGACTACATTTTATCTTCATGCATATTTTCTTCCGTATCCCCTCGGAGAGATGCACTTCTACCACTTCGCTTCAGCTATTCATAACGCAGTCTAGAGTCTAGAATCCGGTTCAGATTCAGCCAGAGCGCTGACAGCCTGATGGGTATCATTCAGAAACGGTCGCCGAGACATCATAGACTGAATGAGACGGCTGATCTCTGTGACGGGCCAGAGACGGATCTCCATTCGACAACTTCGCGGGAATCGAGGAGCCGAAGCGCCCTTCGTCTGGGGTCAGATGAGTGACCGGCGGAGGGCTGTCAATCAATAGTCAACAGAATGTCAAATTTATCCAGTCAGCTGCATGACTAAATGGAAGCGGTCCCTTCAGCCTTCAGAGACAGACAATGACGTTGATGTCGATGACGCATGAAATTGCATTAGCGTATTAAGTCACTGATACATTAATTTGGTAAAAAGGAAAACTTTAGGCCACTGTCTGTTACTAGTTAATTAAATTCATTCTACGCAAGTGCATCACTAAACATGTCGCCGCTTTCTTGGATGAAAAGTAACCTTTAGATCAATCTAGTGGAGTGAGCCGCTCAAGTGTCGGATATTTTTACCTTTTGCTGATCTGATTCGACACGCGTCCAGAGCGATACACTTCCCTGTCTGGTTCCATGTCCCGTCCCAAAGGTCAGCCTACCGTCCGAGACGTCCCGTATAAGAGAAAAGCTAGACAGCAACAGCTAGAGCTTCCGCAACTTCGTGACCAATTACGTCACTTCAGATCCCTCCGCTCCCCGTGCGGGGGACGGCCGTCCCTCTCAACTGAACTCCGTGACAGAGCTCAGCCCTACCCTCACCCCATCCCCACAATTATTGGGCCCAATCTTCCAACTGCCGTGAATGCGCATTCACGGCATTTGGTAACAGTTATTATTATTATTCAACATTCATTCATTCATTCATTCATTCAGGCTACATCCATAAACATTCACGCTATGAAACACATTCGGCGAGATCAGCTGGACGTAACTAAAAACAATGCATTTTATATTATTGCCGGTAATTCCGGCCAGTGCTGCCAAATCCCATACACGCATTGGTATAAGATTGGGCCCTGGTTGGTTGGTAAGGTCGTGACTCCGCACGAGCTGTGCGTGACAGCGGGACGATGTCCCGTGACTACCGCGTGCTGGCTTCAGCCATCTGGTTCGTTTAGGTATTCAATTCAAAAGCGGCACGTAGTAGAGACCTAGATCGATCGGCTATCGATCTACACTAAATTGAGTTTGGTCGTGGTCTGTGGCTTGGATTTTATTAGGATTTCTAAAACTACCTACTTAAGATGGACAACGTCAAAAAATTTAGATAAATTTTTTTACAGCCTTGTAGATAAATTTTAAAAAAAAGATAGTGTGCCTGCCCATAACATATCTTTTACCATGGCGTGCTGACATTGTAGGTCAATCATCTGCAGAATATGTAATGCTCCACAAGTAGCCATGATATGGACTGCTGTTCCACGCCGTATCAGCAATAGCCAATGCGCTTTGATAATCGCTCCGGGGGCGGCTACGCTTTCAAACCGAGCGTTGGCCAGCTCAGCGAGCGTTCGTCATGTTTTAGAGCGTCATTTCAGGTCCGCGATGTCCGCTGATGGGCCTTCTGGGTCATCATGCAGGGTCGTCACACGGGGCCATTGACGTGCCCACGCTTATCAGTATCGTCATGGTTATTGACGGTTTTATGGATATTATCCTCGTCGATGTCCAAGGAATTCATAGTGCTACTTTAACGATAATAGGAACATTGCATTCACGACCCGGATCCCTCTCTGATACACATTTAGATGATGCACATTGATTGGTAAAGTCGAAGGCTTTTTAGCGGAAATCTCGTCGCTACTGAGACATCAATAAACTATGCATGTGAACTTCAAAAGTTCAATTCATGCCTAACATGCGCTCCACGTCTGCAACTTAGCCAGCTAGCTCATGCATGATGCAAACTTTAACGCACCATTACATGGAGTCAACACAGATAGAAACTGAGATATGAAACTTTATTTTATTCAAAATTTCGTTGAAAACTAAGAAATTATACCCGCCATGACCCCAAGGTTGAATTTCACGCCGGCTGGGGAGCGGCAAAGCACTCGGGAGCGAACCCATCGTTCATTCGATCGCCATACGATAGTGCGGATATGAGCTCCTCATTCAGCGCTGAGACAGCTCCAGCGATCAGAAGTGGCCCGACGGTGGCCCAGAGTGCTCTTGGAAGTGACATTCCAGTTGATAGAGCCATCCGGCCGGAGTCCCTCCAGAGAGCAACTGTCCGACGTTATTTTCCGATTTGGCTCCCGCAGCTAGCTAAATAAAATAGAACACAAGGGCAGTGGAATCGCACTCAAATATGAGTGAGCACCCTCTTCGGTATAAACATTCATTTCAGCTTGTGGCATTCCTCTAAATGCATCTGCAACTGCATGCACGCGGGGGCCTCGGTGCGTGCATATCTACTAGTAACCACACGCCGTACAGCCGTGCAGCTGAGCACTATGTATTACTGCCACTCTCTATTCTGTACTCACTGTTGCTGGCTGGTCCGTCCATACCGGCTCGGACGAGGCTGGCGCAGGGGGGCAGCTCATTGCTGGCCGGGACCTCCACGGTCAGACGGTCGCGGGGTCAGCACCGGAGACCGGCCCTCTGCCCTCTCCCTCCCTCTCACCGCCGCTCACTGCTCTGTCTTTTGGAGACGGTATCCACTCACGTAGACGCCACACCACAGGGTGGCTTCACCTGAAAGGACACGGAGGTGAACAGTGGTTAGAACTTAGACCATCCACGCAATATTAGGTATGCAGAAATGTGCCTAAAATGAATCGGTCATTTACTACAAAATGCAACTGTGTTCAGCAAGAAGAAGACTTGAACGTGTGGAAATGGCTAGTTTATGGGTATATCACTACAAATCCGTGAAAAGTGGAACTGTTCAATGATAGTCACTCATTGGGTAATTCCCACGACTGTTTTATTTCTCAGCAGTCTATCACATTGAATAACATAGTATTTTATGATTATATCTGCTTTGCATCAATCCATTCTTTTCCACTAGTAAATGAAACAGTATTTCCCTGCTGAAGATAATTTCATGTCACGGGAAATGTGAATAGTCACTCATGGCCACCCGGCTTCAAATGGTAAATAAAAATAGTAAATACTAAATAGATAATAATAAAGTTATTTTAAGTAATTTGCGAACGAGTATGACACCTCAGCAGCTGAATTGCTCTAACACGGCACGGTTGGACACTGGGTCGGCTGCCGAGCGTAGCAATGGTCTCATTGCTATTCGAGACAGCGCCGCCGGCACCAGCTGACGGTCGAAAGGTTCGGCTATTTTCCTTCTCACGTCCCATCTGTTACCTGGCAGTTATCTAACCGACCGTGACGACGTCAGCACAAAGCTTAGTACCTCGCACAAGAAAGAGCGTCGTAGCTTGAGCTACCTACATTCTTTTTTGACAAACGTGATTTGTTTTTAAAAAAATCTCCATTTTTTCTTCTTCCCTCATTTTTCAGACCAGACGTGCTCTTTTCCAACTGGTCACCAAAAATAACACGGCTCTCGTCTCGGGTTCACGCTCTCCGAAGTCTCTTCCGTGTGTATGTGCTGCTTAAGTGGTTGAAATCGTGTTAATGAAACGCATAAAATCTGCTAGCAAATTATCCTCTATCGAAAGACTCGGTCCGATTCCGAGCATGGATAGACCGAGGAACAGGCATGAAAGGATATCTTCGATGGCTGAAAAATGGTCGAATAAGACCGCCGTTATATCGATCCTAAGCACCGCAGGACATCAGAATTTTGTTTAAAATTGACCACCCTGCGACGAAATTGAATTCACGCCTCACGGTCACACCCGTCGCACTGGAGCTCCCTCTCTGCTTCCAGCGCGTATCGTACTATCGTGCGTGGGGCCACTCAGGTCCCAGTGGTTGTTCCCGTCGCACCATCAGCCCCCGTGGGAGAGGCCTGCCAAGGTCGGTCCCAGTACGCCGCTATTTCCGATCCATCTGCGCTAACACGACGGGCCACTCGGGCGGACACAGGACTACCGGGGTGGGCACTGTTCCAGCCGAGGGGCCTCACCGGTCATCGGTCAGCGAACGGTCATACAGCAGCGGGTCAGTCAGAGGTCGGACGGGGAGTCAGTCGTCTCTGGTCGGTCGTGTATAGTCGGTCGGCGGTCAGCCAGTAAGGGCTCGGTCAGCCAGTGATTAGTCAGTGGTCAGTTATCGGTTAGTCAGTGGTAGCGATCGGTGTAAGCCGTCAGTCGCGGAGTCACCTGCTGAAGACTGCACACGGACCGGTCAGTGGATGGCTCCCCAGGGCTCGCGCCGCCTTTCTGCCGTCACCGCCGACCGTTCCACCAATCTCTCAAGCTCCGACACCAAAAACGCTGACGACACTTTCAGCGGCGCGGCGCAAATTGTCGCGGCTGCGGCGCAGATATGCCGCAGATTGGAAAACGCCATTTGTTCGGTGACCGTCGCAGATGAACGGAGCAGCACCCGTGTGAGGGACGCGGGTAAAGAACACGACGATGGTGATGACGGCACACAGAAAAAAAAAAACAGCAACTGGATGTGGAGGAGATAAGACAGTTTCTCCGACCGGCAAACGTTTGTTTTTGTCTTGTTTGTTTAAATGGAACATTTAAAGTACAAATTTAACCCGCGCACCGACGGGGGGGGGCGGATATCCGCCCCCCCCTGAGGTTTTTCGCGGATAGCGGGAAAACCGCGGCGCGTAGCGCCGCGAAATTTGGTATGACTATTCTCTCATCAATTTTACACATGGTGTGCAAGTTTGAACCTCCTAACTTTTAAGGTCAGGTCACCAGGTCACTTTGAATGACCCAACCTCAAGTCACTTTTTTGCAACTTTGTCACCGTGCCAGAGCTACAGTAGATGTCGGAGGCCTTTGAAAGTCGCAGGATGTTATTAGGTCATTAGTAGCTACAATTTGTATATCTCGGAATTTTGATGTCGGTGACCTAAGGTCAGGTCAAATTCGCGACCTCCCCATTATAAGTCAATGGGGGAAAAATCAACTCCCTGTTTTTACCACTAAAACGGGTCGGAATGGCCCCATATACCATACATGACTTCACATACGATCAACCTTCACTACCTTGAGGTCTGTTTTGCTGTTGGGCAGCTGTAAGGTCATGTGACGTCATCAAAGGTCACCAAAGGTTTTTTGCCAATAACTCCTTACAGGAACAAGATACAGCCGCGCGGATGGTCTAATTGTGTTCAGCTCGTCAAGACGCATCGAATGATATACATGATGACCTCGAGGTCACGTGACCTGAGGTCAACCTTTGACCTTGACCTTTCGAGGTCAACATATATATCATTCGATGCGGATTGACGAGAGGATCACGATGATGCCCTTAGTTTGTTCCTATCTTGACTACTTCGAAAGTTATTCGAGAAAAACCCTCTCCATATCTAGCGCCGCCATTTTGACTTTTTCGACCCCTGTGACGTCATCTTTGACCTGACCTGAAAATGACCTTAGTAAAAATTGTAGACCTTGTCCGTGCGTATCCGATGCCGTTTACGGCTTGTCGCTATCTTGCTTCGTTCTCGAGATCTCAGGGGGGGGCGGTCATCCGCCCCCCCCCCGTCGGTACTAAGTTGGCGCAGACCCCCGTCGGTGCGCGGGTTAAAAGAAAACACAAATTCACAACTTAGATCGCATTATTTCCCGTTGTGTATTGTCCCCCTAATAATGCATAATATACGTTGGAACTTTTTAGCGAAGTGTGAAAATTAGTTCACCGCTCGGTGTTTCTACCTTGGATCCCAAAAGTTTGCTCCTCACACGATTTGGGTGAGATAACACCCCACAACTGTAAACATGTCATCAAGTTTCGGGTAAGAGTGTTGGAAACTTTGGCTAGGCGAGGATTAAGCCAAGAGCGCAGGGAAGCGGTGTACTTAATCTCAATTTTCCAGATTCTCATCCTGGCTCATTTGATGTAACAAAAAGTGCAGTGTGTAAAGTTGTTCGATACCTACCTAAAATTAAGTTATCATTTCGAATCTTTCGCTGGAACAAGGCAAAGACGTTCATCGTTTTCTCAGGTCCTCCTGCAGTTTTGTAACAATAAATCGCTCGAAGCCAATACAAACTGCAGCCGCAGTTTAAAACCGTTGTTACCTCTCCCCACACCTCCTCAAAACCGTGTCGGCTGCCCGCGACAGCTGTTTCCCAGCTCCACAAACACTCGCCGCTCTGTTTCCCCAGATCAAGAAAAATAACTTGGCTCGAGCGGTGCCACTGAGCCGATTTTCTCTGCGGAAACTGGTCTGCTCTGTTTTAAACAGCGCTGCGTGAGACGGTGGCTGAGCTCGGAGCAGCGTGGACCGTGGATCTAAATGGGAAGCGAATGGACGAGCTCTCGGCGTTCCCTACTCCGGTTATCACGCGTCTGATGAAGAAGGATGCTGCGTCATGGTTAATGCCGGTGAAATATGGACGGACAAGATAGTTCACCTTCATTTCCATACGACCAGGGACGTGTCACGCATGTCTCATAATGGCAAACGCAGATTGTGACATGTGACAAATGTGTCCGATTTAAAGAAACGACCTTTCGGAGTATTCGCTTCGTGCTCAGGTATTTGACTCTTTGTGCTGAATAATGACTCTAACGTGCCAGTTTCCTTGACTAACGCACTTGTCAGTGTAAAACATGCGTTACACGCTATGCATTTTACTGCCGGAATTCAAATGACCCTGAGGTCAGATCAGGCCATTGACCCGTGACGTTCAGTCAGTTGGGATATAGTTTCAACGTTATAAGTGCCTGTTCAGGAGAAAAGCAGCTAGAGCCTGGGTACTACAAACGACTCCGTTTCCAATGTTTCCATGAATCCTCGCCAACTCGAGCTTGACTCGGTCTCACCTCCACCGGCAGCCATCGTTCTGCACCGGCCGTTCGTCCCGCGACGGAGCACAATGTCACAGGGTCCCCGCCGCGCCGCAATATCCTGTCTCTCAGATAGAGGGCGAGACAACATGTATATGGGCCGTCTTGACGGACATCGAGGCGACGAGGCATGGCGTCCCTAAATATATTCCCTAAAAATATTGCAGTCATTATTCCTTGCATCCAGACGACAGCCATCTTCTCTCCTTGTCTACGTGACCCCGGAAAACATTTGCCGGTGGTTTCTCTCCATCGCGTTGTTTTCTGGCTGGACCTGAAGGTGACAGCTACGCCTCGTAAAAAGATCCGACTTCGTCTGTTGCGGCTTAGCCGATATGGCCGCAATTTAGAGCAGCACGGATGGCCAAATGACCTCTGTGGCCGGTGTCGTTTTGTGCGGAAGTCGGGATGAGGACACGTGCGGCGGTCGCGGTAGATCCGGTGACCCGGCGGTTCAGACCGGTCCCCATCGGCCTCCGAGGGTCCCCCGGCCCGGCGGCCGACCTCGTGGCCAATAATGGGACGCCACCCAGCATTGTGCGGCCGCCGTTCGGGGCGTCACGTATTCGGACCAAATTTGATACTGCACGGTCAATCTGGCGCGTCGGCGACGTGCGACGAATCCGGGGAATTCGTCCAAGATTTATCAGACTGATTTACAACGCCGCGTGGTGCCACCAAGCGAGAAAATGATCGGCGGTTTTAGACGGGTGACACTGACGAAGAGCATTGGTCCTTCGTTCCTCGTTAGATTCTC